GGTCAGAGGTTGTACAGTGTGAGGTCAGCAGGCCAGGCTTTTGTAGCTTGAGCATGAATCCTACAGATGGCAGTGTCTGTGGGGCACACAACACATGCATCATTGTGAAGAGTACGAAATGAAGTGGATAGAAATAAAATGGAAACATCAAAAATTATGCTACTTGTGGCATAACTAGTTATAGCTATAACTAATTGTAGGTGTGGTAGGGTCTATATTTTTTTGTGTTCAAAAAAATAATTCACAAGAATAAATATCTCTCTCTCTCTCAGAACAAAACATTTTTTACCCTCCTCTATCTCTCCCTCACTTTCTCCTTGTATCGGAATGAAACATGATTTCACCTTCCCCTTCTCTCTTTCTCTCCCTGTCTCTCTCACACTTTTTCACTCTCCTTGTATCAGAATGAAACATGATCTGACCTTCCTTTTCTTTCTCTCTCTCTCTTTCTGTCTGTCTGTCTCTTTTTCTTTCTCTCTCTTCTCGTATCAGAATAGAACATATTTCATTGATGTCAGGTAAAATATTTAAGATTAATGCTGCCCAAGGGCCTGACACCTGATTAACAGTGTCACAAGGTATCTTCACCCACCTTCCATCTGTCAAATCCAGGAAATATAAACGCGAGTGAACAGCATATTTCAAACAGTATGATAAATTCATCAAACTCTAATCTTCATGCACAAGTTCAGATCCAAGATGGAAGTTTGTAGTGATTGTCCTGTACACAATCTTATTTCAATGGGTTCCCATCATTGTCTGTCCTGGTACATGAACCACAAATAGCTTCAGCTGTGCCCATTGTTTAAATCACCCCGGTACAAAGCTGTACCGATTAAAACTACATAATTAAAATAATATTCTAATCCTGTACTTAAAGATGGGAGGAAAACATGTCACTGAATTTTAAAAATATTTTGAAATATGTTAAACATGCATGACAAGGGCTGTGCTCATTTATACTCTAGCCCTAGCCCTACATCACCTTGAGCATGTACTAGCTGTGTGGATATGTGCGAATATATAAATATCCTATAATAATAAATAATAATAGATATGACCAAAGCCTCTTGAAAGACTGACATGATAAAAGGGCTGTATTATCATGATAATGGAAGTGGAAGTGACCAGATTGTTACACAACAGTATTGAGGAAGTTCATACAGTGAGGTTATATGCTGATGTGAAATTGCATCAGCAAGATGAAGATCATGATGAAAATCAATCTTCAGCAGCCAATGCTTGTCGTGTGAGTGAGTGAGTGAGTGAGTATGGTTTTACACTGCATTTAGGAATATTCCAGCAATATTATGGCGGGGAACACCAAAAATGAGCTCCACACGTTGTACCCATGTGGGCAAACTGATGTTCATAATGTCAATCACTGGATTGTCGGGTCCAGATTGTTTACAGACCACTATCAGGGCAGTGGGGTAGCCTAGTGGTTAAGGCGTTCGCTCGTCACGCCGAAGGCCCGGGTTCGATTCCCCTCATGGGCACTATGTGTGAAGCCCATTTCTGGTGTCCCACGCCGTGATATTGCCGGAATATTGCTAAAAGCGGCATAAAAACTAAACTCACCCACTCACTCACTCACTCGCAGACCACTATCATTCAACTGGAATATGGACTCCTTGGCAGAAACAATAACCTGTTTGATTGGCATTTGAGAAGTTGATGAGTAATAAGAAAGATAGGATACAGTTTGGGTGACAACTGCTGTGTTGTATCTTGATGCAACATTTCAGTGTAGACAAAGGTATAAGAATCTATACTGAAGTGTAATATCACATAAAAGTTGTCAATAATATGGAAACGCATTCATAGTTTTCAGAGTTTTAATAGGTACAGACATAACAACAGTAAACAATAAATCACGTAATATAAATGATGACTGACTGACTGACTGAGTATGGTTTTACGCCGTTTTTAGCAATATTCCAGCAATATCATGGCGTGGGACACCAGAAATGGGCTTCACAAAGTGTGCCCATGTGGGGAATCGAACCCGGGCCTTCGGCGTGAGGAGCGAACGCTCTTACCACTAGGCTACCCCACCGCCCCTAATATAAATGAGGAAATAACCAATCATCATTAATCTTGTCTTTAGTGATACCAATCAAGTACATCTGTATCAGCTGCATCAGTAGAGCACAAAGCAAAGGTCAACCATTTGTGAAAGGGATTGCTATTTCCTGGCCATTGTATGAGAAAATCACACACAACCATACTGATCACTTAAAAACAGGAAACAATAATTGTGTCTAGTAACTTCATTTAAAATCTGACGGTTACATTGACGTATTTGCCGAGTTTTTTTCAGCCTCATTTACAGTTTCCTCAAACCCTAAAAATTGAAAAGTGTTTTACTCCAATGAATGAAAATCAACATGTCCTGAACACCCAGAATAGTTCAGTTGGTTAAACTGCTAAACAACAGGGTTATATGTTGGTTAAAGTCCAAGATGATAGGTCACGCTAACTTATGAGATTAGAAAAGTTAAACAGACATTGATTTGCAAAATATTCAGAAAAAAAATAATCTAAAATTTGTTTTGTATTATTGTTTTTTCTCAACTACTTGTCCAGATTTTTCACAAATAAAATTATAAATTAAGAAAAGCAGTTGTAGCCAAAATTTGAGAGACCTATATTACTCATTACCTTTGACAGAAGTATGGGCAAGTGGTACGCCCAGTGAGTGCACACATGCCTGAAGGCTGTGGGTATATATAGCTATGTACACATTGCACAGATAGACACTCGGAGGTTTAGCTGGAACATGATCTCATTCCAACCTGCTGAGCTTCCATGTTGGGTGCAACATGATGTCATGATGGTGTCATGTAGCATTCATTTTCATACCTATCTGTGTATGTATGAGTGTGCATGGCTAGAGTTTCACTGTTGCAAGTTATTTGTAAGGAAGACAACTTCTTTATTATGAGCGTTTCGGAGTATATCCTTACTCCTTCATCCTAATTCATGTTTCGGAGTATATCCTTACTCCATCCTGATTCATGTTTCGGAGTATATCCTTACTCCATCCTGATTCATGTTTCGGAGTATATCCTTACTCCATCCTGATTCATGTTTCGGAGTATATCCTGACTCCTTCATCCTGATTCATATTTCGGAGTATATCCTTACTCCTTCTTCCTGATTCATGTTTCGGAGTATATCCTGACTCCTTCCTGATTCATGTTTCGGAGTATATCCTGACTCTTTCATCCTGATTCATGTTTCGGAGTATATCCTGACTCCTTCATCCTGATTCATGTTTCGGAGTATATCCTTACTCCTTCATCCTGATTCATGTTTCGGAGTATATCCTTACTCCTTCATCCTGATTCATGTTTCGGAGTATATCCTTACTCCTTCTTCCTGATTCATGTTTCGGAGTATATCCTGACTCCTTCCTGATTCATGTTTCGGAGTATATCCTGACTCTTTCATCCTGATTCATGTTTCGGAGTATATCCTGACTCCTTCCTGATTCATGTTTCGGAGTATATCCTTACTCCTTCATCCTGATTCATGTTTCGGAGTATATCCTGACTCCTTCATCCTGATTCATGTTTCAGAGTATATCCTTACTCCTTCATGTTTCGGAGTATATCCTTACTCCTTCTTCCTGATGAAGGATTAGGTTGCACTTTGTAATATTGGGTTGCAAAGTTGGGTAACAAAGTACTAAATCGAGCCCTGATGACCCAACAATATTTACTGCTGAATAAAACACTGTTGCAATTTTTGGGAAAGAATGTTTGTTCACTATTATAACACATGAAGCAGATGTCAGTCCATACTTAATTTCTTCTCATCAATATCCAAGTCTCCACTTCTAATAAAGTAATCATGATAATATTTGACACTGTAGTCGACCGTCTGTCTTCTCTACAGTTTACATTGTAGTTATTAATATATAGGGAGACACTGATTTAGGATTTCATCACCTTAAGCTACTTAAGAGGTAACATATTATGGTAGTAGCTGAATATCTGATGTTTTAACAAGGGAGTGTAGGAGAGTGGTAGAGACCGTAGACATGTAGTTGGACATACTGCATAACCAGCACTTCATGACAGTTAGGAATATTTAATACAAGAGTGTTTATTTTTAAGAAGGAAACAAAGGATGTTTGTTAGTGATGATGGAGCCTTAAATGGAAAATGGAATTTTTATACAAATATGACAGGAAGGACATGTATGTGTCAGTTTTGGAATTGGTGCAAGACATCTTGGTGTAGATTCATTTCTCATCTTATGGCTGTGCTGAAAAATATTCAACTCATGTAGACTGTGTGTGAACTATCCACCACTACATTTCTCTGTTGATACAGGAGAGTATAGATGGTCCGTCTTCTGTGCAGAGGTTTTGTTCTGAGTTTCTTTGCACAATGTCGAAAACCGGCATTACTTTGGGTTTCACTCTGTGGCCTAGTCACACTGTTCTAATATAATATAAATACCATGAAAGTGATGTTAAACTCCACTCACTCACTCACTCACTCACTCACTCACTGTGACAAAATGAATACAGGTATCAGTAAGTTTAATACTTCTATTTTCATCTATACAGGAAATTTCATGCAATTCATTTCTATGTGTTTAACATCATGTAGTTGTTTTTCTTTTGAAACTTTCATACTAGCATCATTTTATATTTAAAGGAGTACTCTCCACAGCACTTGTGGGTCATTTAAGGCCCCTTTCTAAAGAACATATGTAGTCTTTGTTATTAGCGTATGTATAAACTGAATGCTAATATACAACTTTGCTTTGAAGATAATGTGTTTTGGAAACCCGTTAGGACTCTCATCATTTCAACTCCCTTGAACAGCTCCAGATACCTCCCCAAATTACATACTTGTGATAGGTATTGCTCATGCTTTGAATGTGACCTTCGTGCAGAAGAGGTGTCATATTTGTAACTTCTGTTATTATTGTACTTCTGATTTCACATTTCTAGTGAATTTACAAGATGTTTCTCTGTGCAGGTTCAACCAAACAGCGTTGCCGAGCGGTGTGGCCTTCAGGCGGGAGACGCCATCTTGAGAATCAACGCAGCAAACACAGACAACTTGACACATGAAAATGCCAAGATGGAAATAGTTCGGTCAGGAAATAACATCGACATGCTTGTTGCCAGGTATGCTGGAGAATAGATCGGCTAGATATATATCAGGTGCTAGAATGAACATAGCTAATACAGTGCAGCAGAGAGTGTTGGTGCTGACGTCATGCTGGGTCTTGCTCAGCATGGATGCCCAATACCCTCAAGGGGATTGGAATGGGGATCAGATGGTCATAATGGCTGCTGAGTATGGACAGTATATGTGACCGACTTTTGGCTGTAATATTAAGATTAGTTGATTGTGTGTCAGAATTAGATCGACTTCTGTTGTTTGTGGGCTTTGTGTCAGGGTGCCCTAACTTTTAGGTGTCACTTAGTTGATTGTGGGTCATTGACTTCAAAAGTATGGATAGTTGCTGTCAAAGAATGGTATGTCTGAACCAGGTCTGATTGGCCAGCAGTTTAGTATTAGTTTTAATACTGTTGACTGAAGCATAACAAACTGTTATTTCCTTCTCTTAAGAGTTAAAGCTACAAGTGTCCATATGCGTTTGGTCGGCAGCAATATGTCTTTGATTTTCCTGTGAAAGATAAAGTTCTTGTGCTATTAGATATTCCGCTGGTATGTTAATACTAAATGTGAAAGTAGTGTTAAGTATGAGGTATATCACCCTTCTATAAAAGCACTGAATGTTTATGACATCTGTTTGAGTGATGTGGAACTGGAATCAAAACAATGGTATATTGGGAAAGGGGTCTGAGGTGTATGTCATTATGAACGGAATAGAGGTACAATATACTGGATAATCACGTACTCCATGCCATGTGCTGCCCAGTGATGCTACAATGCTGTGATACAATCTTGATATTGCTATGTGTAGTGCTATTAGCGAAACTCACGATGATAGTAATAATAGCAGTAGTAATAGTAAAAGACTAAGGCCAGACTGAATGAATTACTTGTTTAATGGACAAATCTACATTTTGCAAAAGTAATAAAATTTGTATTTAATTTGTAATGATATCATTTATTCATTTTGCTCATATTCTTGTTAATAAAACTAATATTTGAACAGTTTTATGGAGTTGAAACACATTCATTTTGCCTTTTGCCATAAGATTAGAAGATAATTTCCCTGGCCTAATAAACATAATATTATGGTAATAATTGTAAGTCTGTGCTACATTACAGGCTTGCCTGATGATAATGGTGTTATACATAATGCATCCATTATGCAATGATAATGCAGCATTGATATATTAGCTGCCTAACAACTGCTCGTATGTCATAGGGGAGCAGTGAAGATCTGGAAGCCACAAGTCACACCATTGTCCTCACTCCGACCAGCTGAACTCAAACCCATCGTTGCAGCAACAGGAGAGGAGTTTGTTCCCGTACAGAAGACATCCCTCGTCATGAACAAGCCCGAGTCTGTAAGGATGTTATGTGTTTTACAGGCAGACTGAACCTGATGCCCTTGTACAAAGGGATATTAGAGCTAAGGTGGTTGTAACTCCCATACTTTAACATAGACTTATGACAGTCTTAGCACTAAGGTTACTTTGTCCGGGGGGCCCCCAGCATCATTTTGTCATCTATTTGATATACTCTCTGATCATTTGAAGGGTGAATGTATATACTCTTTGTCGTGATGCTGTTCTGCAGCAGTAACCAGCCAGGCTTGACAATCATTATGCATTTATATCATTAATATTTATACATTGAACCAAACATGAAATTTTATGAAGAAACATTCCCACACCAATAACAGGAGATAATCAGGAGCATAAACTATTCAGCCAAAAGTTTCATTTCCCAGGTTTTCACATTTACCATATCAAATGACCTGTCCACTGTACCAAAAACTAAAGTTTTTGCCCATGGATGTACATATACTTACATAGACACAGGGGTGGAAATAACCCATTGCCCGACGTCCGAGTCCAGTGTTTTTTTCTGTCGGGCAAGCAAATTTGTATATCATGCTGTACCGGTGTCCAGTTGACTTTCCAATGTTAATTATGTTGTTTATTTAAAAAATCAACAAGAAAACGGACGGTATAGTGGAAATATTATCAGGGCAAGTGATTTTACATGTGCCACTGTACCGGAGTACACTAGCAATTTTAAAGTTATTTCCACCCCTGAGACAAGTATTTTCTCTATATTAGACTACCTTACTACAGATAAAATAGGTCTACAGCATAAAACCCATTCCCTCACTCATCCACTTAAAGTCACATTTCTAGTTCAGTACTCTACTGAAGTTGACTCACGGATTACCCTGTTCCAAACAATCTTCCTTTATATTTTGACAACCATAATGAAGAAAGAATTTGAAATTTACTGTCTGTCAGTTGTTATAGACCAAGTATTTTCTTACAGCATTGATGAACACAGGACATATAGAGAGCATCAATCATTATTACTAAACCCCCACCACTGGAAAATGTTTATATGCCTAAGGGACCTATGACATTGGCTGCAGTAGGATAAGTACTTATTGTTTAGTGGGGGAGGTGGGGTAGCCTAGTGGTTAAAGCGTCCGCTCCTCATGCCGAAGACCCTGGTTCGATTCCCCACATGGGCACAATGTGTGAAGCCCATTTGTGGTGTCCCCCCTGCAGTGATATTGTTGGAATATTGCTAAAAACGGCGTAAAAACCCTACTCACTCACTCACTGTGAATTTAGTTTTATGCCGCACTCAGCAGTATTCCAGATATATAGCAGCGGTATGTAAATAATTGAGTCTGGACCAGACAATCCACTGATCAACAGCATGAGCATCGATCTACGCAATTGGGATATGATGACATGTGTCAACCAAGTCAGTGAGCCTGACCACCCGATCACGTTAATCGCCTCTTACAACAAGCATGGGTTACTGAAGATCAATTCTAACCCGGATCTTCACAGGTCACCCATTGTGGATGTGAGAGCATGTGAAGACACCAGAGGCGTGTTCAGAACCGCGAGCGCCCTCGCGATTGCCTCCTGCGGCTTCGCAGATCGACCCTGAACAGACGCTTGGGCTTGGTTACAATAAACCATTCCTGACCAACTCGTGTTGTTCCGGGACAAGCCGAATAGCTTCTTTATTATATTCTTAAGGGTGAAATACTGTAAATATTGGTGAAAATAAAAATGGTATTGTCATTTTCACTGAGTAGAATATCACTTTTGCCTGGAACTACGAAACGCGAACTACGAAATCGATGTCTCGATCATTTATAAACAATGATCAAAATATAATAAATAGAATATTTTGTTAATGTTGTCAATGGTTACGCAACTAGTGAACATATCAACTTTTTTCAGACCACTCGATGACATATACATGTTATTTGACAACATTAACAAAATATCCTCTATGTCTTCTTTTTGGAGGTTACGGAAAGGGCCGAGTGGCTCAGGCAGGCACAGGCGTTCAGGATCGAGCGCTCACTAGCGTTCGCGGGCCCTCGCGGTTCTGAACACGCCTCTGTTCTTTGTGTAGAGTTACCTCCTCTTGGTGTATCCTAAAAGTTGGATTGTGGGTTTGAATCATTGTTGTCCTTGAAATGTTTCTAGGTCTGTCAACACAGTGCTTACGCTCTTAGGCTTCATAAAATGGTAAACATGTAAGACCTGTATCACATCAGACTTTCCGGCGACATCTACATGACACGCAGTGATGTAACTGGATTACTATTCAAATTGGTGTCAAACCCCAAACTCGCTCGCTTGCTCGCTCCTTCACTCACCCACCCACCCACCAACCCACTCACTCACTCACTCACTCTCACCCACCCTCACTCACTCACTCACTCACCCACCCACCTTCACTCACACTCACCCACCCACCCACACTCACTCACTCACCCACTCACCCACTCACTCATTATGTGTCTTCTTGTGATCAAGAATGGTCGATTGTCTTCCAGGAACCATGCAGAATAGGCAGCACTCACAACCGGGCAGCGAAGCCATTTGGTGCTGCAGCTGGTGGTGGTGGGAGCAAGACTGCCACGCCCAATGTCGTCCACTCACAGTATAACACGCCCATCGGGCTCTACTCAGCAGGAAACATCGCCTCTACCTACTCCTCACAAACGGCTGGTATACAACGTGAGATGGAGAAGTAAGTTTCAGAAACGAATGCTTCATCATTATCATCATCATCATCATTCCTCGTTGCCCTGTGTTTCACATCTTCCCTATACAGCACAAGTCAGGTTGTACATGTAGGACAGTTATACCAGGTGGATCAATCATTACCTTGTATACACTCAGCATTTGTCACCTGTGTGGTGTATAGTACAGGTATTGATTGCTCTACTGGATGTGGTAGGGGTCCACGTATATTGATGACTCATCAGTTTGTGTTGACAGTAGGGTGTGGTTGCTCTGGGTGATTTGGCTTGCTCCATACAGAAGGACCATGAGTAAACATTGACACAATAAGGATGATATCTAGTAGGTTGGGGAATACGGGATGGCGGCTGACAGTTGTCAGGTGTCTTTTGAAACTGTCGAATATTTATCACCATTAAAAATTATTGTACATTACTTAAATGAACATTTGATGAAACTCTGTAATAACCTTAGGGAAATATAGGGAAATGGTGGAAAATATTTAGCATAAATTAATCAACTGGCGTGAATTTGAATATCTGAATATATTGGGGTTTGTATTTAGAACTTCAACTGCTATCAACTGCCACTTTTAGCAATATTCCAGCAATATCACAGCGGGGGACACCAGAAATGGGCTTCACACACTGTACCCATGTGGGGAATTGAACCAGGGTCTTTGGCGTGATGAGCGAATGCTTAAACCGTAAGGCTACCCCAACCCCCTGATTGGGCAAGGAAGTGCCAGCAGACCTAATGATTGTTTCATAAAACAACAAACAAATAAACATTAAAGGAGACCAGCCATGGCATCATAATGGAATGGCCAATAATTTGTTCACTGCTCTGAGATCAGCAGTTCTCAATCTTGATATGACACCTAGTTGATGTCATTAGAGCCTTGGGCTTTTTCACAAAGCAGCATAGTGCTATGACTTTTGTGATACCTATACTTTAACTAGCCTTACAAGAGTTTTAGCACTTTCATGGTTATGGAATTGGGGCCCAGGTGTTTCTTAAATGCAGTACAATGTTCCGAAGAAAAAATAAGAACCCCAGCATCTCAACATATTGGTCAGTAAAATTATTTGAACGTTTGTTTTCTTGTCCCAGGTTGGATGTGAGTACTTCTGACGTGGGTGCTCGGATGAGTGGGACCTACCAACCCATGGGTGGAGAAGAACAGCAAGGTCAGGAGAGTGCACGCTTCCAGGAGACCCCAGACGGGCAGGAACCCGAATATAAGGGCTACACTAACCCGCATGTTCAGTCACGCACGTTCAAGGCCCTGCAGGATAACTTAGAGGAGCAGGGCGAGCTGCCACGTATGTGTTGGTTTGCATGTTTCACTACATTGTCAGGGCTCTCAAACAGAATACCCCTCATCCAGTTGATGGTATTGCTGACCAATCTGGGACTGGCATCATGTGGCTGTGTGTTAATGGGATAATCTGAAACACCCTTTGATTTAGCCTGAAACAGCCATTATTTGATCTGAAACACCCTTGTGATTTAGCCTGAAACAGCCATTATTTGATCTGAAACACCCTTGTGATTTAGCCTGAAACAGCCATTATTTGATCTGAAACACCCTTGTGATTTAGCCTGAAACAGCCATTATTTGATCTGAAACACCCTTGTGATTTAGCCTGAAACAGCCATTATTTGATCTGAAACATCCTTGTGATTTAGCCTGAAACAGCCATTATTTGAGCTGAAACACACTTGTGATTTGATCTGAAACAGCCATTATTTGATCTGAAACATCCACGATTTAGTCTGAAACACTCATCATTTGATGTGAAACACCCATGATTTAGTCTGAAATGCATGATTTAAACTGTAACTCCCATTATTTGATCTGAAACACCCACGATTTAGTCTGAAACCACCACGATTGAGTCTGAAACACCCATCATTTGATCTGAAACACCCACGATTTAGTCTGAAACCACCACGATTGAGTCTGAAACACCCATCATTTGATCTGAAACACACATGATTTAGTCTGAAACGCCCATGGTTTAGTCTGAAATGCTCATGATTTAGTCTGAAACACCCATGATTTAGTCTGAAACACCTATGATTTGGCCTGAAACACCTATAATTTGGCCTGAAACACCCATGATTTGATCTGATACACCTATGGTTCAATCTGGAACACATCCATGATTTAGTCTGAAACATCCATGATTTAGTCTGAAACACCCATGATTTAGTCTGAAACACCCATATTAGTACATATGAAGCACCTAAAGGATTTATAACCATTTGTGCGAAAAAGACTTACAGTAACATAATGGAATCAGAAATGTAGGTATTCAGAATTTGTAGTTCTTTCTTGTTTTTTGTTGAAGTTGAGTTGAACAACTGAGGATAGTATTGTTTGAGAGCTTTGACAAACTATAATACACAGATGGTGTCACAACATATTCATTTGTTCCACAGTTGCTCACAGTGTATATCTGTACCCTGATAAAGGCACTAGCCTTTGAGAACCTGAAGTTATCTCCCTTGTGTCTCAAAACCAGACAAATGACACCTTTTTTTCTCAGTACAGAAAATCAGTTTTCAGAATCGCTGTGTTTCAGAAATTGGTAAATACCCAATAAGCGTCAAATATCGGCTTCAGTGGGTGAACAGCCAATCAGACCATTATTGTAATGTTTATTGCAAACCTTTCTATGTTGATCTGGAGCTGATTTTGATAGAACTAGGGTAGTGTGACTTCCATCCCTCGATGTATCGCTTTCTAAATGTCTCACAATTATCAGCAGATTATATATTATCAAGGGGGATCATTCATTTGACCTAGCATCTGTATTTACTTAAGGTATAATTCATCTATTTACTGAGTATTTCTATTGTCATTTTTTTAAATATCACTCACCAATTTTTAAGATGATACTAAAAGAACATTATTTATTACTAGGAAATGGACCAATATTGTTACCATGGTAACCTAACCTAACAGGTGATAATTTATGCATGTTTTGTGTACAGATTACCAACATGCCTTCAAACTCAATTTTCTAGCTAAGAAAATTAATAACAGATACCATATTTTAAACCAGTGAAATTGAACCCTGTCTTAAAAGATATTCTGCCCGCGAAGATTAGTAATAATGCACCTCATGAGTGGACATTAAGAAGAAATCTATTGTCTTAACAATGATTGATTTGTAAGAGTTTGCATGGAAATATAACATGTTAACATTTTAAAATTAACATAATAGTTGAAAAAGTGCTGAACTGTTGTGTGTTGTTGTGTTTGAAGTTTTTGAGTTGGTTTGCATTTCGTCCTGCATGTTAAGTTAAGACCTCAAATAAGAGGGCTTCAGTGTCACATGACTGTCATGTGACTGCTTGACCACACTGCTCTTAGTGTCATGGTAGTGACAAACACAAATATATTGCCTGCAGTAACAATATCAGGTTTTTTTAAAACACAATAGAAGATTTAGTGGGATATATATAGTTAATATCGAAGACAATATCTTCTAAATGGGATAGGAGCAAGGGCACTTTTATTACAGTCCAACATATTCGAAGCATTTTGTGATTTGCCTATGAAATTGACAACAGTCATTGGTTGTTGCATTGAAGTTAAAACGTGATGTGAGCCCTGCCCAGGGACTCCCTCAGACTGAGGTTCTGACTTGACATAGCCTTGTGATATGTCTCAGATATTACTGATAACTACATAAAACATCTCAATGAGTTCAAACCTGTCATTTAAAATTTTAATTTATTATTTTACTGATCAGATGTCAACTACAAACAAATGTTTAACGTGTAAATTGTTTTGTTTGTTTGGGCCTCTTTATTAAAATAGATTTTTTTAAACTTGCAAATTTAAGGAATTTGGAAAAATTATTTTGAAAATTGCTGTAGTAGCTTTATGACACAGGAGCCTTATTTTGCAGTGCTTGCTTCGTGTATCACGTAGTGTTGGTGGAATTGCTGTTTGTATTCATTGCATTTTGTATTGATTGAATTAACAACATCTGGCACCAATAAGATTAAGGTCAAAATATCACATAATATCGGTCAATATATACAATTTGATGAACATATTTTAATCATAATATTTTGTCTACAAGTTCAATAATTTAAATGTGCTCATGTTATACAATTTATAATGAAAAGTGTTCAAATTCTCAGTTTTCAGTTTCTACTGTTCCTAAATTTGTCCTGGTGATAAGGTTTAGATGAAGCATTCGTTTTTCAGAATCAGGAGCAGGATTCCGGTCCGTAAAAGCTCCAACTGCTCTCCCTGCAAGTCAGAAGAAGCCTCAGCAACCGTCCATGAGATGCGGAGGTTGTGACATGCTTGCTCAGTAAGTGTGAATCTGGTACTCCATTCCTCAGAAGCATGTTAACTCTTTAACATACACTGTACTAGGGCTGGGACGGGTCCAAATTTTCTACCGGGCACCCCACCCCCTATTACCCTATCCTACCTGGGTACCCATTATGTTAATTCCTGACATCAAATTTGCAAGAAATGGCAATATATTTTTCAGCTCGGAGGCTAAAATCTCAATATCTTTATCATGTATTATATTCAAAAGAGGTGATTGTAAATTATGTCTAAATCTTCAAAAACAATACAACCTTTTAATCATGAAAGAATAACATATTTACATTGTTGAATCTATTAGTCACATGATCATGATGGGTCCGGGTATTGAGACGGCGGGTCCCAACTCATTACCCACACGTCCGGGTTATCTGGGTTACCCGTCCCAGCCCTACACTGTACACGTTTATATGTATGTACATTGTAAGGTAATGAACCATATAAGTAAACCATGAGCACAAGTTATATACTTATGGAAATGACTAAGGGGACACCTGAAAGTACAAGTGTTCGTTTATTTATTTCCAGAATTTCACTCACAGTGCAATACATGCCTTGTGAAGGAACCTGGAACAGAATAAAGGAACACTTGTACTTTCATGTGTTCCCTTATTTGTTCCCCTGAGTATATTAACGTAATATTGTAATATGGCTGATTTTTACATTAAGCAATATTGATATAGTTGTCTCTTTTGCCTTTTCCATTTTTGATACTACTCTCCTGAAAACTATTTTTATTGAATAAACATTTAACAAGAATTGTTATCTATTAATTTTGAAATATGAAATGGAACAAATTCTTATATCTGTTCTCAGGGGTGTGATTGTGAAAGCCAATGGAGTTCCTTACCATGTGGCCTGTTTCAAGTGTGCAGCATGTGGTATGAACCTCAAACAGAAAGGTACGTTTCATATTACTCATCATTCTCTTCCCACAGAGGTTACTTGTCATATCTTCCTATGAACCTCTGTTCTAATACAGCCCTTTCATGGTGCGAGTGTTCATAATTCGTGATTGGTTGCAATCAGATTTAGTTGTGCAATCAGTGATGTTGTTTCAAAAGTGATCATTTGCAAGGCCTCAGTAATTTGTGCATGCTTCGGGAAAATTAGAACATCTTCCCATGCGGGATGCGCAAAAGTTTCTTCTAGACAGAGAACTCAGTCATGTAATGGCGGATCAATGGCGACACCATCGCCCTCGTTGACAACGGACAAGCTTATCATTAAATGTCTTGTGTGTCACATTAACACAAGTCCCTGACAGAGAAGAGGGATATTTGTGGCCCCATACTTGCTTACATTAGTCAGGTTGGATTTAAGTCGATGTAACACGTGTTCTGGTTGGATAGAAAGAAGGGACATAATTCGTGTTGCGATTTTTTGCCGCTAGGGATTTTACGAGGACCGGGAAATATGGCCGTATTAGAACAGAGGTTCGTAGGAAGATATGACAAATAACCTCTGTGGGAAGAGAATGATTAGTCATACTATGCTTGCCACAAACAAGTAATAGACCCCTGAAGATCTGGGTTTGAATTGATCTTCAGTAACCCATGCTTGTCGTAAGAGGTGAATAACGGGATCGGGTGGTCAGGTTCGCTGAATTAGTTGACATATGTCATTGTATCCCAATTGAGTAGATCGATGCTCATGCTGTTGATCACTGGATTGTCTGGTCCAGACTCAATTCTTTACAGACCGCTGCCATATAGCTGGAATATTGTTGAGTGTGGCGTAAAACTATACTCACTCACAAACAAGTCATGGGGTGAGAAATTTGAGGGATAGCTTCACAACCTTCGGGACAAACAGAAGTATATTTGGAGGAGGACGAAGATGATGATAACAGCAACAACAGTGACGATGCAGGTTTATGATGATGATTTGATGTTAATGATGATGATCAAATTGATCAAGTGATCAGTTTCAGATAAACTCATTCACATGCTGCTTGTGATTTGAAAAAGTGAATAAAAAGTTTTGTAACAGATTTTGTTGTTAGTTATAACATACTGTACATTGTCCTACATGTGTGTTTTATTTGTGCTACAGGTTACTTCGTGGTTGAGGAGAAGCTGTACTGTGAAACCCATGCAAGACAGAGGGCCCAGGCCCCAGGGCCTGACATGGTGTCTGTACCGGTCTACAGGTGAGTCCTGTGTGAGTCTGCGTGAACAAGGACATATAATAACTTTTGATGAAGATGATTGAAAAGCTACTGTAAGTCATTGTTGAATATTGATTCCATTGAATATTGATTGTGAATACTTAGACACTTAGGACAATTGTTTTATGTCTTAAGGCCAGACCAATTTTATTTCTTGTTTTACGGATTTATGTCCTCAGAAGGGAAAAAAAATAAAATTAAAAATCACCAGTCAAAGTAATATTCCTTTTAAATACTAAAAGTGTTTTACTTTTGGCAATACATTTTTGGCCAATAAAAAACATTAGGTTTTTATTTTTTGAGAAGGGAAAATCATTTTTATTATTTTTATTATTCTTGATTACGACCGGCGGATCCGTAGAACAAGACATAAAATTGGTCTGGCCTAATGTTACAATGCATATATTTAGTTATATTAATGTTTGGAATATTTGCTTTTACAGGTAAATATTTTGTTGAAGATTATCAAGTTGTGTGCAAGAAGTCCTCCCAGACCAACTACCAGCCCAGCCTGTCATCCCTGTTTCCTTCCATAGACTGACCAGTCATAGCATATAGAAGAGTTCACTTGTAGATAATGGGGATGATAAGATGAAAAAGGCATTACAATAGATCTGGAAGCTAGAGACACCTCAGCTTTATTCCCTAGTTGTCTCCCCTATCGGCTGAGTTTAGACAGGGTTGTCATCAAATTCATCCTCATCTGACGTGGAGCTTGTTTATTCAATTTTACTTTCATTCATTGTGTCATGACTGTGAATCACCTTTTGACAAAAGGTGTCAAGAGATCTGATATTTTTTTGTCACTACATATCAACAAATTTTAGTTTGTTACATCCATTTTATTTGGGAATTCTGTATTTTGTTTATTTATCACAACAATTGTTTTAAAAACAAATCCTTTTTCCCGGGACAAATATGCTAAATTATCCATGCCCAAAAGGCATTTACAATGCAATTATCATGGTACAGTTGTCAATGTATATTAGCAGCTCTATGACTGGTTTCCAGAAGGTATTCTGCTACCTAGTCCTTAAGAAATGCCAGCTTATGTACTGTTTACAACTATAAACATCACATATTAAAACAATATTACTATGGTATGATTTCTTTCATTCCATTATGACAAGAATTTGATAGTGCAAACTTGAAGATAATTTCGACATCTGGAAAATAAAAAAATAAATAGCTGACATGATTCATGATAGTGTTCCATGATTTCTACACAAAGCCCTCTTAGTGTTCATGGTTTGTGTTTTTCTGCTGTATTTACTTGTTTCTGTTCTGAAAGCAAGGTTTATTTTTTTAGCAAGATGTAAGCAGTGTTATGTTAATTTTTTGCTCAAACAACTTTCAACAGCTCTACTGATTGTGTTTGTTTACAATACAAGTATGTGTTTTGTGATGCGGTGTTCCTTTTGAAAGGTATTTTTTTATTGAAAGAAAACAACAAACAGATCAAAACAATCATTTGGTCGCCTAAATGGTGAAATAAGTTAATTTACTTTACAAATGGTTTGAAATCCTAACCTAGTTTTTCCCAAGTCAGCTTTCTCGTAAAGGGAAGTAACTCCTAGTTGCAAAGAATGGTAAACTAAGCAAGGGTAAGTTCATTTGTTACAAATTGTAAGGGAAGTAACTCTGAATCCCAACAATGCACACACAGATGTGAGATAGTTATGAGATGTTATAAGTGATGATTGTTATGAGATGCATAATGGTTTATGCATATATTTATCGAGTCATAATGAACATGTGATGAGCAAAATAAGAAGTGAAGTTTAAACTCCTGTGATACAAGTGGTGATAGCATTGCAAAAGATATTAAAGCAGAACGTCAAGACAGGGTAACATTGTAAATACTATCAGAGTAGATCTGTTATGTATGTATTAGATCAATATTTCTGTTAATATAAAATCATTATCGGCCAGACAAATTAATGAATTGTTCTTTCTATATATTTATCTTAAGAGGAAAGAGGGAGAAATTATTTATTCACTGAATAAATTTATTATTGCTATGTGCATATTACTGTAATTTTTGTGTATATCACATTTTTTAAGGTTCATTTTCAGAGCAATCATAGTTGAGAGAAGATGCAAGGAGAACAAATAGTGTCAAAATATTAAGTTATCAGTAAAATATTCAAATATTAAGTTTGTCTGGTCTTGAATATAATTGATATTTTTAGGTAGTTAATAGAGAGACTTTTGTAGTAAGAATCAATTAAAGCTTCTTTTTTTTATTTGTAATCCTTTCAATCATCATGGTCATAATTACATTATATATTTCAATGGTCAACTCTCCTGTTTAATAAGGTGCAATGTGTTATCCATTTGTGTGTATGTTTCAGTTTGCAAGATGTTTTAACCTGGAATGTTGTTTTGTGAAATATTGTATGAATATTCTTTAAAAATATTTCATATATTTCTGTTATTTTGCTGTCTGGATATGGAGTCAGATAATTTCATAATTGAAGTTACATAATATTTTGGTGAAAATATTTTCACAACCATTAAGGGTACTAACCAAAGAATAAGTTTAGGCATGTCAAGTTTTAATTTTTTTAGGACTTAGAGTTGTGAGTACATGTTTTTGGATAATTCATAACAATGATAAAAATTATTTATGTTTGGCATTCATGTCCTAGACATTGATTTTGATATTGAAAGCATGTATTTTTTATATTTATTGGTAGATGTTTGTGACACAAACACTTACAGTTCCATTTGGAAGAGTAACAAAGAAACACCATCTCATGAACAGCCAAGCATCTGCAAGTGAGATGGGCTGTTATACCATATAGCTATGGGCTACATGTATACGGGCTGTTATAGCATATCAATGCTATTGGCTACATGTATACAAGCGGAGTGCTAACATTGGTGCTATAAAACACAGGGTGGCTGTGTTCAAATCAGTAGGGCCAGAATGTTCCATTATATCAAAATATGGCAATAAAATTTTGCTTTTTCAGTTTTCAATAGTGCTGGTGTTTCCTTCTTCCTTCTCTTAGCAAAGCGAGTGGTTTTTGATTATTGAAATGTTCATGGTAGATCATTGCAGCCTGTAAAGGATCAAGTCTGGAACAGACAAACCTGTGGCTGATAATCTGAGCAACAGCCCACATGGTAGGGTATGAGTACATACAAGAACACAGAATTTGACCAACCAATCTAGCAGTGTGTGGTGTTTGCTATTTTAACATGGGCAGTGGGATATCCTAGTGGTTAAAGCATTTGCTTATCACATCAAAGACCTGGGTTTGACTGAGCATAGATATGGTGACTGACCAAGGACCATCAGGACAAACTTGGATTCAAACCACTATCATGCACCTCTGCCCAGTCAATGGTGGGGACTTAATGACTGGACCATGTGTGGTTGCCCTGATTACAGTCTAAGTAAACTTAGGCTCAGTATTATTCGTTACACTGTTATACTGAGTCTCATTATAACAGTGTAACGAATAATACTGAGCCTAAGTTTACTATGACTGCCCTGGTTAATACTGGTGATAACTCTGAATAACTGAGTAACTGAGATGCTCTGATAAAAGAAGAAAGAATACACTTAAAAACAAGATTTGACCAGACACTTACAAATGTTATCAAAATGTTATTCAGCTGAAGACAGCTGTCAAAATTCTACATACCTGGGGCCTAAAACACACAATGATCATAGGCGGGTCCAGAAGGGGTGTGCACAAGTTCAAAGTGCAAAGTTCTCTGACAATATCACTGGGGTCTGTCTGCAGTGGGAAGAAGGCCTGGAGTCATCTTGTTTTTAAGTTGTTGCTGCAGGTCTGTCAGTAGTATAAGTAGTGGTGGTGGTAGTAGTATTAGTAGAGTGAGTGAGTTTAGTTTTACTGCTGCACCCAGCAATATTCCAGCTGTATGGGGGTCTGTAAACAATGGAGTCTGGACCAGACAATCCAGTGATCAACAGCATGAGCATCGACCTACACAACTGGGATAAGATGACACGTGTGTGCGATGACATGTGTCAACCAAGTCAGCGAGCCTGACCACCCGATCACCTTAGTCGCCTCTTACAACAAGCATGGGTTACTGAAGGTCAATATTCTAACCCGGATCTTCACAGGTCCATTGTGAGGTGAGGTGAAATTGGGTTTTACGTCGTACTTGAGAATATTTCGCTCATATGACGACGTGCATGCGTGTGTATGTGTATGTGCGGCTGCTTCTACTAGCCCAGACTTAAGCTGGTTTTATAGTGCTAGCTCACTGAGATACCATGCCGCAGTGAAGCATGAATACCCCACTCAGACACAGTATACTGACTCCGAGCCGACCAGTCCTTGTTGTACCCATTAATGCCGACAGAGACCAACAAGTACCATATTTTAACGTCTTTTGGTATGACGCGACCGGGGATCGAACCCGCGACCTTCCGCTCTCCGGGCGGACGCTCTAACCACTACACCACGGAGGCGGTCTAGGTCCATTGTAGTAGAACTAGTAGTAGTGGTGGCAGTAGTATCAAGTACCTAAGACAATTACAGGAAAGTGGGCAAATACATTATATTCGGGATAGTTAAGGGTGGGATCACACAGGTACAAGAATTAGTACTTTGCTGATGAAGCGTAATCCCAAATATAAAGTATATTACGGGATTATACTAATTTGAAAGGTCCCTTTGTTTTCATACCTGATCAGCCGTGATGACTGACATCGTTGTTCTCTTGGACAGTATATATAATACATAATTGGCTCCGTTCAACAAAGCGATGTAAGTGCTACAACTGTGGTAGAAGACTTCAAGTCATGTTAAAAGAGGAGTGACTGCTATTATCGCATTGTGGAACCAACCCAAAGTTTGGTAATGGGCTGTTTGTTCTTCGGAGATAATCGAGACTAAGTCTGTAACAGTTAAGGAGGAAAAGGGGGTACAGGGTGTTTTGAAAAGCAGGCACGTGTCTGAAATGGTCATTTATTATGACACACCGCAGATACCTTGAGAGTCTCTCCTATGCGGTGGGCCTGTGTATGGATGGGCCAGATGAATCTGGCTCCGCGTGTTGAGATACTGCTGGCATTCTGTTTGGCAGGGATATGGCATCAAAAACAGGTGGAATGCAAAGTAAACAGATTAGTCACAAGACTTATTCATCTAAACACAAGGACCTATATTCTATTATGTTGAAATTCTTAAATTATTCGGTGATGCATAAATCATTAAAAAGCTTAAGCATACAACTTTATCGTTAACAACTTCTTGTTTATTGCATAGGGCGACGTTTCTTACAAAGTTAGATCACTCAGAGTTTGACTCGAGAGTTATACGTCGAAACGTCGATATAAACGAACTTGTTACCATAAAGTTGTATGAAGCCAACTTCTAGAATGCCGATGAAGCAATCACAAAAATGCCGAAAGATTGTAGTTTACATTGCCATCGTCTATAAAGATACACATAGGCTTTAATGTCTTGAGGTGAGTCTGCTTGTTCAAATCAAAGGGCACAAGGAAAATTATGGCGAGTATCTAGTTCATGGTGCAGTTGGTGTGACCTTTTGTCAACCTTGTATATTCAGACGAATAGTGAGTGAGTATTGTTTTACGCCGCTTTTAGCAATATTCCCGCAATATCACGGCCGGGGACAGTAACCTCCCAAAACCTACATACCACAACCCCTACAGCTTATAACAACAAAGTTCATGGTCCAGTGCACTGCTAATCTCCTGCCTGTTACCTATTTCATACAATGGACCAGCCCAAACACTTAGCAATTGAGAGAATGATTTTAATGAGCAGTAACCAAACTAAGAGTTTGATAAAATGGTTTTAATGGATGATAACAAAAATATTTTTAACAAATGTTTAATAATATTGAACTTGAGGAGGTTTAATTCTGGGCTGTATGGGTTATGGGATGTAGGGGTTTACTGAAAGACCAGAAATGGGCTTCACACAATGTACCCATGTGGGGAATCGAACCGGGGTCTTCGACGTGACGAGCCGCTGTAACCATTACCGCCCCTCAGATGAATAGGAGCGCGTGGATTACATAGTTTGTTTACACGTGCAGAGTGCATCCACTGTGATCTATCAGGCACTATTTATATCAACCAGTTTTCACATGGTGAATTTTGCTCCACGCCTCCACAAACTTGCAAACATCTCCAAACACACAAAATATTTGCTGCAATATTGTATCATATACATGTTCAGATTTTATACAATGTTATAAAGTTCTGTTTTCTTACATGTCTTCCGTTGTATGGCTTAATGGCTACAGAAGGATAATAAATGGACGAATATCATCTTTATAACAACCGGAGCTGGAAGAAAAGTTGTATGAAAGGTGTCTGGGCTTTTTTGGTAGTCACGTGATGGTACTATGGCATTATTATGCCATTGATGACGTGTGTGGATAGAACACACACGCACACGAGCGCGCACGCACGCACACACATACACACACACTGACAAACTCCATGTGACAACAATTCTACATTACACAGAAATGTTATTCATATAACGCAGATATGTACATGTTGTAATTACTTACAACATCAGAAAATAGAATTACCAACTAAGATAGTCAAAAATGTTTCTTCTTGGTACAAAAAAATGCCCATAGATCTTTTATTCACAAATCTGTTTAAAATTGTACAATTTGCTCTCACTCTCTCCTCTCTCTCTCTCTCTACTCTGTCTCTCTTCTTCTCTCTCTCTCTCTCTCTCTCTCTCTCTCTCTCTCTCTCTCTCTCTCTCTCACACACACACACACACACACACACACAACCATACCAGAGCTACAAGAATGTATTGTATCCCAATTGCATGGAACGATTCTAATGATGTTGATCACTGGATTATCTGGTCCAGACTTGATTATTTACAGACTGCCGCCATACAGATGGAATATTGCTGAGTGTGGCGTGAAACAACAAACCAACGAACCAACAAGAATGTATGTTTCGCGATAATCTTATGATTTGGTGGGCTCGAATCCCAGTTTTGCTGCTTTCCCGTAAATACTTCTTTAAAATATGTATTGGTTGTGAATATAAAGTTCAAGTAAATAAATAACTGTATTATTATATGAAGTTTGTCAATGTAATTGAGAAATTGTGACTCTTTCAATGGTAGCAAGACATATCCGACAAAACGATTTGAACTGATTTGTTTTAGATAAAATAGCTATGCCCTCTCCGTGACTGCAATATGGCACCACTCAAACAAACTCTTATATAATAGTCTCCAAATTCATCCGACCGATGTTCAACGCCCACGTATCGTATATAAACAATTTAATGCCAGAAGAGTTTGTTACATATTATTAGGTCGTATCCCCCGTGATATATACCCTGTCATCGCACACCGACAAATGGGCTCGGGTAATGTATCGTGACGTCACACTAGGCCGTTATGTTGGTATCGCCCAGCGTGGCGCGTGCCAGGCCCAGAAACCCATTCACATGTGTGATACTGATATGTTTCTAATGGAATCAAGCGGTTTATTGCACTAAGGGGCACCTTGCCCCCTTCTCTCGACCCCCCTAGTATTATAACCACTTACTTGCTGCAAATGCTTATTACTAAGGGTCTCAGATAATATAACTCCCGTCATTACGTGAACTTTATCCTGGTTGCCTTATTGGCCCTTCCCTTCTGTGATATCTATTATGAAGTACTTAGATCAGACCTACCGTTCATGACTGACTGACTGACTGAGTTTGGTTTTTACGCCGCTTTTAGCAATATTCCAGCAACATCACGGCGGGGGACACCAGAAATGGGCTTCACACATTGTACCCATGTGGGGATTCGAACCCGGGTCTTCGGCGTGACGAGCCAACGCTTTAACCACTAGGCTACCCTACCCCTACCGTTCATGAAGCACGTTAACGGCGCGAGGGGCGGTAGGATAGCCTAGTGGTTAAAACGTTCGCTCGTCACGCCGAAGACCCGGGTTCGATTGCCCACATGGGTACAATGTGTGAAACCTAATTC